ACATCAACCACGGCGTTCTTATCTTCCAGCAGGCACTTAAGAGCTCCTGTGGCTGTAGGTGCTGCATCTGAAGCAAACTTACATGTAATGGAGAAAATGCAGAGTATTTAAACAAAACTGTACAAAACCAGGCTTTAGTTCCTGAGCTATAAAATGTGTTGTTTGTTTGAACGCTCAAGTATATGACTTGAATTTCCTTTTAGTTTTAGAATGGGGAATAGTCAGTCTGCTTCTGTGGCACTGTCTAACGCTGCTGCTGTGAACCAAATACAGGTAACGTTATTTATGCCATTCTTACTTATTTCCAACATTCCAAAAGCCATAATCCCTTAAAAGCTCTTTTGGTTTATACAGAGAGTTTCTGTCACTAGTTCTGTATGTCAAAGCTGATTCTTACATTTATGAAGTAATACTGGCAGCATTGTTTATCCACCACCCTGGAATCTGATCTTCCCAGGCTGCATCCATTTTCAGACCTCTACTCAAATTTAATACTGCTATCAATATTGGGGGTTAAACCTTGTTTAGTGACTGAGACCAAGTGAGTTAAATGTTTAAAGACAAAATTTGTTTGTTTGTTTGTTTGTTTGTTTTTAATTATATTTACTGATGCTAAATGGCAGCCTGAAATCACCTTGAATTTATAGTAAATTAATAGCATATTTCTTTCTCCCACTTGGAGCCCTTTTTGTCTCTGTGCTTGCTGCTGGCACATCCTGTTTGCCTCATGAGTAGAGAAAGCTGAGCTAAATAACTGCAGGAGCTTGTTTGGTGGGCAGCAGGAGGTCTGGGACTCAAAAGACAGCTCAGGGTTAGCACCATTTCGTGACAGTTGATGGCTGTACCACGTGCTCCACGATCATTCTGCTCATCTTTGGAGTCAAGTGCAGGTCATGTGCAGCTTCGTAGGTGCCAGCAGTGCCTCTGGTAGAGATCATTAATGCCAACTCTCCTCTGAGGCCACAGCTTGAGTACTGGGTTCAGTTTTGGGTGCCACAGAAAGACATTGAGGTGCTGGAGCTGGTCCAGAGAACGGCAGCGAAGCTGATGAGGTGTCTGGGGAACGTGTCGTGCGAGGAGCAGCTGAGGGAACTGGGATAGTTTAGTCTGGGGGAGACCTTATTGCTCTCTAGGACTTGGTGAAAGGAGATTGGAGTGAGGTGGGTGTTGGTCTCTTCTCCCAAGTAACTAGCAATAGGATGAGTGGAAATGGGCTTAAGTTGTGCCAGGAGTGATTTAGATTGGATACTGGGAAGAATTTATTTCCTGAAGCAGTGGTGAGGCATGGGAACAGACTCCCTGGGGAAGTGGTGGAGTCACCATCCCTAGAGGTGTTCAAAAAACGTGTAGTTGTGGCACTTTGGGACATGGTTTAGTGGTCATGGCACGATCGGGTTGATGGTTGGACATGATGATCTTACAGGCCTTTTCCACTTTAATCGTTCTATTTCACTTCTGCCACTACAAGATCATAGAATTCCTGAAAGTCAGATAGTGCTAGGTTTTAATGGATTCCAGGTATTTTACTTGAAGAACAGAGCGTGGAACCAGGAAGAGTCTCTTCATCTCCTAAATAGTTCTGCAAACTGCTGAAGTTGCGCGTCAGTGCCTACTATACTTTGTGCAAATGCTCTTTGGGATTGGGTGAAGTGCAGCTGCATTTCTGAGGTTGACAGTCTGACTCCTGATAGTTGGCTAGGAAGCAATTTTTGGTTCTGATGTGAAAGGATGGGGTGCATCCCTAAAGGAGGTCCTAGGCCACCAGAGAGGTATTTAGAACAAACATGAGGTGGTTATGTTTTGCACCCACCATACAGGTGATGATACCTTTTTGGCTTGATAGAAGTCACTGTTCTGCTCCTTGTTTTTAAAGAAAAGTAATTCATTCCTTGCCTTAAGATTCTTGTGGCTCTAGGTTAGAAGTATTGGGAAGATTTAAAAGCTAAACTAGCTTTTCACTTTATCTTAAAAACTAGTGTTTTGGAAGATTCTTCAGAAGTAGCCAGCCCTTGCTGTAGCATGGCTGGGAACTTCATTGTCCCTGTTGAAAATACCTCAGAAAGCCTTTTACAGAGAACAATTTCCCTGGCTTCGTTACCATAATAGCAGATTTTTAACTTCTGTATGTTTTCTCATGACTGTTAGATACTGTTAAAGTACACTGACTTAAAAACCAACCACGCTGACTTAAACGTTCTTTTGAACATACAGGAGGTTATTTCAGACAACTGTGTGGTGATTTTCTCTAAAACGACATGCTTCTACTGCAAAATGGCAAAAAAAGTTTTTGAGAGTATGAATGTACATTATACAGCTGTGGAACTGGACATGAATACAAATGGAAGCCAGTTCCAAGACGTTCTCGAACAGATGACTGGTGGGAGAACAGTAAGTGTATTTTCTTACATGTAAAATGCAAAGTAAGAACTTAACTACGCATGATATGGTCATAACCCCTGAGAAACAAGTTCTTCATTTTAATCTCAACTTGGGACACGGGCTCCTAAATTGAAGTCAAGGTACTGCAGAAGGGTTCTGTATTGTCTCTTCCTCTTGAGACCCTCAGGCTGTCCCCTTGAGGTGATCCTTTCCATACTGCTACTTATATAATTCAGGTATCAATGTCAGTATTCATTGGTGTGGGCATAATCCATTGTCTTTAACGCCTTTTTAATCTCTTAATTCATATAGTCTCACTTGAGTCAGTTATTTTATTAGCATCTCCCATGCAGTGACTTTATCCCAGTTATGAGGAGCACATGAACAAAGTTTTCCATCTCATTGAATATGCACGTGTAAGAAAATAACTACTGTGTGTACACTAGAGCCCATGTGAGCTTGCTTAGACTTTCATCTTTTTTTCCCAAGATGTAACTGATGCCATTTTCATTTTCTTGATAGGTCCCAAGAGTGTTTGTCAATGGGACTTTTGTTGGAGGTGCTATGGATATTCAGAGGCTTCATGAGGAAGGCAAATTGCTGCCATTAGTTAATCAATGCCAAGAAGATCCTCAACGGCCATCTAGCTTAGCGTAGTCTTTCTTTGTATAAACACAATTTCAGATGAGTTAGAAGATCACAGGTATGCTGCATCAGCTGGACTCAACAACTCTGAGCCATGGATTTTCAAATCAGGTCAATTTATGGACTTGGCAAATTACTTGGCGTTCTTGCATCAGCTTTACCACAATCAAAGTTGTGATTAAGAATATCGTGTGACTCTTGGGGCTTTGAATGTGAGATAAAGATGTAATTTTATTGATACTATATCCTGATACTATGCTTTGGAGAAGTACAGACTGTGCAAGAAAAATCTTGGGTGTTTTTTTTTTTTTTTACCTGTGCAGGTTAGTTTGCTTTCTAGCGTGGTCCAACAGTTACAATGAATGGTCAGTTTAACTGTATGGCTGCTCTAAATTTAATTCTTCACTGCATGTCAAATTGTAATCATGGAGACAGTAGGAAGCAGAACGAGTTGCTAGTGATGCTGCTGTATATGTCTGCTTCTCCTACATGTCAGTGCTTGGTCACCTTGCTTCCAAATTGTCTTGCAGCTTCGGAGGAGTAGGTAATTGCTTTCATCTTTACTCTGCACTATGAAGCATCCATTTACACAGTAGGCTTTAGGGATATCCTTCTAGGGGAGCCAGACAGCTGACTGTCAATGCTGTGGCTAGAAACTACCCTTATGTTCAATGCTATGATGAAACTTCAGTCTGAGAAAAACGGGTCTAATAGGCATAGAGTTTATTTAGTACTTGAGTTCTACAGTCAGGATGCAGTTAACTAGCAATTTTACTTTGCAGTTAAATGTCTAAAAGAAATGTATAAAATTCAGTCATTTCAGTACAGTGTACATTCAAAGCCAGACCAGGCAATGCTCTTGGTTATTTCAAGCAAGTTAATATCCAAGTAGAAAATTATATTATTCCATTCTTCAGTAAAAGGGACTCTTACAATACTAAAGATGCACAGCTCTGAATAAAAATGTCAGTCACTTTCTACTCGCTTCTGGTGAATGAGACTCCTGTTATTTCTGTATTCTCAGCACCACCTGCACCTAAACTACATTTTTCCTCTTGGGGGGGGGGGGAAAAGCATCCCATTTGTCTTAAGCTCCAGGTAACTAAGGCTGTACGCGTACAATTTAAATTTGAGAGCTTTGTTTTTGTGATGCAGGTTTCAAATAAGTTTAAACTGCATCATTTATACTAAGTCTTTAGTATACAGTTGCCTGCACTGTGCATCTTTAATATGTAATGAGCTAATTAAACAGTTTATTTGTATTTTTATTGCATTTTACTGTATTTCACTAGTTTTGTCACTGCCTTATAAAAGGGACAAACGTGTCATGGTGAATACACATAAATGTGTTTCTCTTGCTAAATTTATACTTAATAAAGCAAATTATTTTACATACAATGGTAACTAAGTATTCTTTTTCTCTCTAGAATTCTTAGGCCAGTTATGTTGTCTCAGAAGATTAATGATAATTTTGCACTGCAATCTGGTTAAGTCCATCATGTAAAAATAATCAAAGTATGGAAAAGAGTTTTTCAAAGATGTTTTAATTTTGTTCCCTGTTTAAAAAAGTCCAAAAACAGACTGAAGTAACCCTCAAAGTTTCAGAAATCCCAGGGCATCGTCACTTGGTAATATTTTTTTCCAACGATTGAATCAAAACATGCTGTATGCCTGCTAAATCCAAGTGAGTGCCTATTTATTAAACAAGATGCATTTTAAGGCACTCAAAGGGTTAATTATGTTTCTTTTCAGCCATAGTAAGGTTCCCCATCCCAAGAGTTTCTCATTAATTTTGTAGAATTTAACAGAAAGTAGCTGCAAGACAGTGCTGTCATTATTGGATGGCACACAGCCATGCGATGTTTAAGTTATTTATACATGATATGGCAGTTACAGTGTGGTTCTATTTTAGAAAAAAATAAAGAGGGACTCTAATTTTAAAGAGTCATTAAAAATTTCTGTATTTTTTTGCTTAGCACTGTCTCCAGGACAAAGCTGTTTATCTTAAAGTCATGTTTGCCCTGGGATCTGAATGTTAAAAATAATCCACAAGACTGTGTGCTTCCCCTTGAGACACACCTTCATCCCCCTGGAAAACAAACATCAGGTTATTTCACTGAGCAGAGAGAGCTGTGGATGCACCCTTCTGTTCCTTCGTTATACAAAAGGATTTTTGATAAGCAGAGCTGCACTTCTGTAGGAGAATGTAACAGACATTTTATTTGTAAGTAGTTGTGCTTAACTCTAAAAAGCAGGTAACATTAGGAAAAGTGCTATTTGTATTCAGTATTTGTTGATGAACCCTTTGGAAAAGCTCTCCACATACCACATGTATATGCATATATATATTTTTTTTAAAAGCTTAAATTCAGAGTGTGGAAATACCTTAAGAAACCATGCCTTACAGTATCAAGATTATAAATCCAAATGTAAACACATGTATTTAAAGACACCATACCTTCTGCTGAAACTTGCTCATCTTAAAATCATAGCCCTCAGAGCAGCATGTACATAGTCTCTGACCCAGAGTTTTACCTTCCCTCTCCTGACTCCTGCTCAGCAATGTTGTATGCTGTACTCTATCATGGCAAGGTGAAACCTCTACCATTCCAGCAATCAAGTCATTAAACCAGCTTGCTCACAGCATATTTGTCCACTGTGAACCACTGCAAATAGCAAAATAAACCTATAAACTGATGAAATGCTTAAAAAAAATAAAAATAAAAGCACAAGGGAGACAAAAGATTCTTTGCTTAGATTTACTTCCACATCTTAGAATCACAGAATTATATGAAGGAACTGCTCATTTATCCAGAATATTCATTTAAATGTGTTTTTTTTTAATTCTGCATGTAACAGCAGTCTGGTAATATTTAATCAAGTGAAATGCTCCAACCCACTGAACTCATTTTAGCAATAAACTTTCAATTTAAAAAGCCAATTTCAAGCTGTTACTTTATAAAAATAAAGTAATTCACAGGCAGATGTTGGATTTTTGTAAATAAGCAAAATATACTTTTGTCACTGACCTTTACACAAAATATCAAGTCTGATAGATACAGGAAATTAAATGTTTTAGAAGATTTTTGTATCATCAAAGGAAAGAAAGAATTTATCTATTTTTTTAAGATTAAGATAAATACTCTGACATCAGTTCTGGTGTAACTTAGCTAAGCTAGCATGCTCGGTGACAGCAAAAAGGCAGAAGAGCAGGGGCAAACAAAAAAAAAAAACGAAAGCCTGTGTGTGAAAAAAGATTCTAGTAGAGGCCTGAGGTAACACAGAGATGGAAAAACAAATAAGCCAAAATGAACAGAGAAAGGCAGGCCAAGCAGTATGGATCCAGCACTAATGCTTCTGGTAGGGTGCCTGTCAGTTATGTATGCGATGAAGCAGCACAGCATTTTGCAATGGAAAAAAATACTTTCCTGATGTTTTTTGCAGATGGAGCCATTATTAGAATACATTTCAGAACTGCTGGTGTCTTTTTTAAGCCAATATATACTTTGTCAAATAGCCTTTTAAAGCTATACCCATTTATGAGTCCAAATTAAATAACAGTGAAAACCAGCAATGCACACCCCACTCCAGTGATTTATGGTTAATGCACAGGTGTAACAGTGGTTTTAAGCAGCAAAGTATTTTAGGGCCAGTTATTAGTGGCCCTGACAGAGCAGACACTTATACTGACCCTGCTGACTTCAGATCTACACCTGCTTTTAGAATTCTCCTTTTTTGAAACACATACGATTATAGGTAAAGCTTCCATATTTTGCCTGTAATCTGATTTTAAAAGCATCCCAAAACTCTCCTCCTCCTTGTCACAGGTCTAAAATTCTTGACACAAAAACCTGCTTCTTGGCAAAATTATTATGTCTTTATTCAATTTATTACACAGTGCTGATGTACACACTGCATGTGCCTTGCTGCCCTCTCTCCACTCCTGATTTTATCTCTTCCGTGAGGAAACCTGACCTCTGATGTTCATTTGTTACAGCCCTTCTTTACAAAAGAATGTTTTAGCTCTGCTGTGCTTCCAACCTTTACATCCTTTTCTTCTTTCTAAAAGCTAGAGTGCCTGAACATTATAGTCTTAAGACATAATGGTCTAATACTTCAGAATTGTTAAGGGGGTCACAGTGAAATGGCCGTCACATGGAAAGCCTATTAATGCTGTTAGATACCAGGAAACCTGCATTCATCCAGTCTGCAGCTGCACTCGGCCTTCAGACTTTCTTCTAGATTAATGTTTTGAATATCTATCTTTAAACTTTTCCCTGTTCCATTTTTACTGGTAAACTGCAGTGCACAATTATAGCCCCATTTTTGTTTTGTTATTCAGCATGCCTTCAATGCAAACAATGCTATTAACTTGAAAGGAGTGAGTGCCTCCTCCTTGGCTATTTATTGTATACAGAACTAATGCTTAAGCTTAGCAACTTCATCTGAGCTCAGGGATTTAAAAAATAATAATAAAAAAAAAAAAATCACACAACCAACCAACCATGACTGTAATTATTGCCTTTTTACCTGTCCAAATTATCTTTTTAGAAATTATCAGTCTCATAAATAAAGACTACAATCAGGACAAGTTTATGTTACAGCAAATGAGTCATGCTGTCCCATAAAATTCAGTATATGGGCAGATCAAAAACATCCAGTCTCTGGAAAAGGAATATGCATCACTCTTCTATGCCCCTTACAGTAAGATAATAAAACCAGACAGAAGAAATGGTAGAAACAAAAGATCAGCACACTATAAAGTTTCAGCTGTCAGCATTTACTTTTTCCCCTCTCTGTGAAAATCTTGAAGAATGAGGAAGATGACAGCATGACATCATTGCTGCTAGTTTTACATCAGATAACCAAGCCACTTAGAATATCCTATTTCTAACATGTTTTTTTTTTTTGTACAGAGAGGAAGATACAGTAAATATTTAGGAGCATATCACATATGCCAGCATGGATGACTACCTTTAACGAGGCACGTAGCTATCCAGTGCATATAAAGGGAGCTACATCTTCTGTAAGTTCTACTGAAAATTTCATCTTTACTTACAGTTTTTCAAGGAATTTTATTTTAAACTGGACTGCTTTCTGAGGTGCAATGCTACTGTAACTACTCATCAATCTGTTAGTAACTAGACTAATTTTTTACTTGTAGTAAATTTATATAATTAACTACAGTTACTTGATGTGCCTAGTTACATTTTTTCTTTATGTTCAGTCCAAAATATTTCCTATTACTTCACAAATACTATTCCAAAAAAGAAACAGTACTTGCAGAAGATACTTATCTATCAGTTATTTTCAACATCTCTAGCTTAGAAAGAAACATCTAGTCAGATTTTTGACTATTGGGTAATTTAAAATACATCACTACCAAAAGCAACCCCAAAACATCAGTGCATTCACTTGAAATAATTAACATGTATTGAGAAAATGAGTTCACTCCCCATGTTCATGGTTATTCAGAAAGACCAAAAGTGGTAAGAAGTTTTTCATAAGGAAGGGGTATTTTTCTTTTTCAAACTCAAAGTGCTATGTCTCAGCTACTGTATGAACAGTTGTTTTTTCTAGATGCCACCTGACTGGCTAGTGGTAGCCCTGTATTCTTCAAGCACCCTATCAGAGCTGTATCATAAGGGCAGAGATAATTCAGAAGTAACTATATTCATGTCCACTGAGGGGTAACATTCTAACCCTCAATTCTTTAAGCCATGGTTTTAATGTCAGAAAAGACTTCCTTCATTATTTTAATTTATTCATTAAGGTAGAATATAAGTATGTAGCAAGATACCTTCAGTAACATGTAACCTCGCATTTTAGCACCAAGAGAGATCCATCCTACAGGATGCCAGCTTTCAATTTATAATCAATATGTACGAGGCATAATGAAAAGTATCAAAAAGTATACTATGAACTTGAATTTCACATTTAAAAGCTTGGGGTTTAGGCAGAAAAATATGGTCTTACATGTTATTTACCACAAGCGGGTTATTTCTATAAATCATTACTTTCATATTAATGTCAAATTTACTGTTTAAAACAGCCAGAAATAGCATAAAAGAGGCTGACATACATACATCTTAGGGGAAGCTGTAAAAGCATCACTAGAAAAGCTTTCTCTTCTTCTAAGACTATGATCTACTAAAGAGATCTTTTAAATTCCCCCCTATACACATATATATAAAAACACAGAGAAAGAATTAAATATATATACATGGCAATTGTTATCAACTCCTGTTCCAAAGTGATAAGATATTCACTAGCTTTTTCCTTATTTACTCACTCTTACTATAAGACTAGAAAAAAAAAAAAAAAACAAAAACAAACAACCAATTTCAATCACTTCCTACACAAGATGTTGAGAATATGGAGGAGGCAACTGTACATTTCATAAAAGTTTTTAAATGTTGGTCCCTATAAACTGGAGGTAGTTTTGAAAAATGTTAGCTTGATTAATTTACGAAATCAGAAGTCATGTTAATCTACAAAAACATTTTAAAAAATGAAATACTCTCCTGTTAGGAAGATTGTTTTTGTATCACTGAATACATTCTTTTGAAGAAAATGTAGCTTTTTGTTTCTGGTTGTTACCTCCCAGCTTTCAAGAGCAGAACAAGACACATGTACTTCCTAGCAAAAAACGTGTTGATGCTTCCTGAAGTTGTCACATGGCCTAGACGTGGCTTCCCAGCCATTTCCAAGGTCTTTTTCTACTAAACCCAGTTTTCAGAACTTCTTGTAAAGCATATTAATTCTAAGACAGTGCTTCTGAAACCGCATTGCACAAAAACTGCCCCTTAATTTATCTAAAGGGATTTACATTTTACTCCTGCAAACTCAGATGATAACCTACATAAAGATGAGGACAAGCTCTTCCACTTTCCATCAGTATAAAACTTCAGTGGCTAACTTTTATACTGCATCACAGTCACATGGTCTCATACATGCCAGAAAATGCTTCTTTTGTAGATTTACAGTGTAACAATGGAAGCTGTCGAACCTTAGTAATTTGTTTAAAAAACAAAGGTTAAAAAAAAGCTCAAAGAAAATTCCCTCTCAAAATTGCTGTTGAATTGACATTGTGTAAAAATACTAAACCCACTTTTTTTTTTCCCCTGCCCCATCCTAACAGTAATTCATGAATTTATTCTTGCAAACAAGCATTCCACAACAATGGGGGTAGGGGGGTAATTAAAAATCTCTTAGTATTTATTATCTATTATAAATCATAATTAAATTACATATCGTGTAACCCTGTAGCTACTTTTAGCAAACTTCCCACTGTTATTTTTAAATTGTGTGCAACAGGAAAAAAGAGAAAAGGTATTTCTCATTGCTTTTCTTGTTTTCCCTTCACCAAAAGGTAACATTCTGATACGTATATAATGTGCCATATTCTATTAAAGTATATTTGGCTGGGAATTCCCACGGTGAAGTCTGTTGCCGGCAATGGACCCACTGCAAAGAGCAGATGCCTAGAACATTAAATCAAATCCAAAGTGAAGTTTCGAATAGCATCCAAGGCTCCTGTATCAAAGCCACATATATCCATCATGCCTCTGTCATCTGGATCTGCGATCGTAAAACCGTTTGAGGTCATTCCACAAACAATCAGTTTAGCAGGGATACCCATTTTCTAGAGGAAGGAAAAAAATAAATATCAGAACACACACATGCAATAACTTAAACATGCCAGAGGCCCAAATCTTGCTGCATTCCTTGGCTAAACTGCTGTCAGAATAGGCTTACTGACAGAAGTGAGATATCCCCTAAGCGGAACGGCAGACTGCTTGCTAACACCACACTTAACCTGCAGCAGCTGTATTTAAATAAATGGAAATAATTACAAAGAGGTCCATTAGCACAGCTTTCCTGCAATTCTAAGATTCATAGGTTATTTCAAATACAAACATTGCATTTGCTACTCTGCAGTTCATTCCAAGAAATCTTTCGATAATAATTATCAAATTATTATTATGATAGGATTCAAAGAGTGTGTTTTTTCTAAGGCAAGGATTTCCAAACGTTGGTTGAACAAATAAAACAACGGGACAAATAAAACAGCCTGAACAAGTCTGCTAAAGGAGCTGAACTTACACTTCAGTAACGTGCAACGTAAAGCAAAGTAAGCGGCATGAAGGCCAGAGTACAGGAACTTTTTGTTTTAAGAACAAATTTAGGAATGGGAGCTAATCTCAAATAAGAGAATGAAAAAAAAGTGGGCAAGAGTTTTGGTGTTAATTTCAACTGGGTGGACATGATATGAAGATTAATGTCCATACGTACACGCTTACCAAAAAGTATTTTTTGTAGTTTAAAAAAACCAGTGCCTTTAAAAGATAAAAGATTGTTTGCTAATTAAAGAAGAGTGTCAAATAGAAATGTATTTGGAGAAGGTACTTTTCTTAGTTGTTTTTTAAAACTATGAAGCTGCAAAGCTGAAAGTAGCCCCTTTAAAACATAATGAGCTTTCTTCACAAGATACTATCACCTCATCCTACTGACACCTTCCCTACAGGCTTATCTTCATTACTCCATTTAAATTTTGTGGTATCTACTGCACACATTAAAGACAAATTTCATTCTGTAAGCCTTTTTTCATTCTGTAAGAACTATAAAAAAACTATATATAGAATGCAGCACACAGAGCAGGGCAGTGTAATTACAACAGTGATTTTAAATAAGTGCAATTAATGGAATACTTGCACTAACTCTGCCCAACTGCAGAATGTATCAGTTTTTAACAATATAGAAACATTTTCTGAAAAAAAGGCACAACCAGCTCAAACTCCAAACCATTTTCAGAAGTCTACTTATTTTGTACTGTATTCAAGAATTATAAACAGTCAGAAGCATGTTTACCTCTCTGTACTCTCTAAGAGCTGTTGCAGGAGGAGTAATTCCAGCAAATGTCTCGTTATCAGTAAATATAATGAAGACATCAGCAGCTGTTTGGGTTTTTTGAGCCCATATCATTGGAAGGGAACAATCAGTGGTCCCCATTGGAATCTTAAAAAAAAAAAAATAACAAACCACAAACAGGGAACACAAATTAGTAAACCATGCAAAAATTACTTTTTATGTAAGCTTCATGTTTTATCACACAGAGCCTTCTTTGTTAAACAACAGTTCACTTATTCATTCCAGTGTTGTTGTTTTGGCTTTTTTATTATTATTATTTTATTTTTTCCTTGATTATTATTCTTTTCAAACTAATTCATTGTGACCTAACACTGCCATTCTAGATCACCATGTTTAATATCCAGCAGTTGAAATAATGGCATTTGCTGGACTTTCTCTAAAAAGGGCAACAAAAAAAATCTGGTGTTTTACTACACAGACACAGACTGAACACAGTACTAGAAGTGATTACAAAGAAAATACAATGTAACTGCTGAAACTTCTCTACATTTTTGTTTGTCTTGTTATATACATACTTCATACATTTTCACTAACAATTGAGGTAATGTCATATCAGCTGTCACTGGGCAAGGGACCATTTCATGTGAAAAGGCAACAATATGGGAATCCTTCTCAGTACGTGCCACAACCTGAGAAAGAGGAAGATAAAAATAATTGTATCATATAAATTAATAAATAATCAGAATTTTTAACGTCTGATTTGAAGCATTCCCTACTAAACATATAACATGATATATGCTTTTGTATTTAAGTCACCATGGTTCCTCATATGCATTAACACTTCACTCTAGACTTCAAATATTCTGTAACATTACTGTAAATAATCATTACAGAAATCAGAACTAAAGAATTGCTCTGATTACTGTAACTAAAGATACTTTTGTATTTCTTCTCTTCCTTCTAACATACAACACTAAATATTTTTAAACTCCAACAGAATTTCTACTCCTCTATAACAGGAACACACAAGAAGTTTGAAAGCATCAAACTGAGGGAACAGTAATTGTAATACAAAGGCCACATTGTTAAGCGCACACAAAATTATGGGAAAACTTCTTACTCCAACCTGTATTATTCTATGAATGCTACCGAAAAAAATTAAATGTACAAGATATGAAAAAAAGCAGCCTTGACCAGTTTAATTTATACTGGAAATCAACTTCTTCAGTTTGATCTTTCTCAATTTGGTTGTCTGTGGCTTTAAGCACCTGGTTCAGCACAAGGCCACATTTTCTGTACCCCAAAAATATGTTTCCTTCTGATTTGTTAGCCCCTTTAGAGTACCACTGTATCAAAAGAGCAGCTCAAGCTGCAAACAGTTAGAAATAAAGTTTAATGCCTCACCATACACATTGCTGCTGCCACTGTGCTAGCATTGAGAACGCTACCCAAAACTTTTTGTGTCATTGATGCACTGACATCAACTGCAATCAAGAAGCGTTTTCCTGTTGGTTCAATTGTCTAAGAGGAAAAAAAAAAAGAGGAAAAAAAGGAAATAGGTACACATAATACTCATTTCTTCCTCCTTCTGCTTTCAACCCTGAAGTGGGCTTTCATTTTTTATTCTTTCTGGGTAATGTTAGGATAGTAATGCTGCCAAAATCTGAATACCTCATGAAATTTTGATTCTTTGTTTAATAAAACCCCAATTCCTAAGATACCTGTTATAAATTTTCAAAACTGTAACCCACCCAACAAACTTTTCTTGATCATTTTATAAGCTTTCTGAAAATAGAGAACTCTTAGAGAGCTTAAGAGATAGAAGATTACATTACCTTGAAAGTTTTGTAAAATGAAGCATCTAAAGCTTTTAAAATGTCTTCATCGGGATTCCACCAAAGCTTCCCTCTGCTTCCATGTCCAGCTTTATAGGTTTCTAAAGCAACCAAAATGTGGAATGGATGTATTCTACCCTGCAGGTAAAAAAAAAAAATCAAGAGGGAAATTTTTGAAAATCTGAACTCCCCTCCCCCCCGAAAAAAAAGTTACAAATTAAAACTAAAAATAAGATCTTACTACAAAAAAAAAAAAAAAAGGAGGAAATCTGGTTTAGTATATTATTACTTTACATTTGTTAAATTTTAAAGAGTTCATGCAGTCTTTACACAGCTGTTCTATGAACTGATACTTGTCAGCTACTGGTAATGGACCTCATTTCCCTTCCAGAGTCCTCCACTGAACTTCAACTATTATCTTACACCATCACTGGAACTCTGGTGAAATTTCACAGCTCTATCCATGATTGTCCCATGCTATTTTCTATCACCAGCTTACAGGACGAGAAAGTCCCTGTGCTGCTGAGAGGAAACCACATGAGCTAGGAAAGAGCCCATGTTCTATGTTCTTTCCCTCTGTAAACCAAATCAGTGGCTACCGCATGCTAAGTTTTCTGAACTGTATCTTTGCTTTATTAACAACATTTTATCTTTTTCCTCAAGGAAAGTTTCAGTAATTAATCACAACCAGCAGCAAACCGTAGCAAATCTGAACACCTGTCCATTGTCTTTCTTCCATCCAAGTACTGTACCACCATTTTTGCTCTCTTTTCTCCAGTGCCTCAGTAAATACATGTGATTAGAGAAGAAACTAGAGAAAAGGAAGAGCACTGGGATGGGTAAAAAAAAACCCTACTGTTCTTGTTCTCAATTCTGCTATTGTCTTGAAGAAGTTAAGTGGGTTTCCTCAACTCAGAAATTATTATTAGAAAAAGCCAATCATCTTCTCTATCTCCCATTGAGTTCCTGAAAATTTTGCTCTACCGTTGGGCAATCCTCCTTTCCCTCTTCTTTCCTTATGTCTTATTTTTCTTATAAGAAATACACCCTTATTTTTCTTATAAGGAGAAAGCCTCCTTGTTCCATCTTCTTTTTCCTTTCAGCTCTTATGCTAGTTTCTTGATTCACTTCCCAAAATCCTACATAAGTGATTTCCACCTACTTTTTAAGCTTGTATTGCTGATTCTAAATTATAAAACTCAGAAGCAATGGATGAGCCCAACAGGCAAGACTTGCTGCAGCTCTAATTTAAGAAAAGATTCTAACTGTCAATATACTTAATTTGTAAAAAAGTTTCAGATACAGGGGATTAGAGGGAGGGATATCAAATGACAAATGATAAATACAAGTTTCAAAATAAAGGTGCAGACATTCCACTGCAGTTTTGTAGAAGAATAAACTATACACATCGTGCAAGGAACATCCCTTTTGTTTGGTAAACAGCTTGCCTGAAGAAATACACTTTGGGAAGAGATTAAAAACCACAAAGGCTGCCACCAATTATGAAAACAGTTCTTACCTTTTTTAGCAGTTTCTCATTTTTCAGTCTTTCACATACTAGTGCCACTTCTGAACCTTGTGGTTCAAGCACTGAATTTGCAGTCAGCTTTCCTAAATTTCTCAACAATACAGAAATGGACATGTCCTTCAGCAATGCCTTCCAAACCTATGATCAAAGAAAGCAAAGGAAATAAAAAAGATGAGATTCCCAAATTACAAAGACTGACATCTATACATTAAATAGGCATATTTTTAAATAAACGTACAAATTATATGAGGATCTTCATTACTTTAAATTAGCTACTTGGGTAAATAACCTGAAAAACAGTGTAAGGGCTATCTAGACTTAAGATTCTGAAAACTGTTACTCTAAAGAGAACGTAAAGGTAATGAAGTTTACCTACCTCTTTAGATTTCAGATGGTTTGTCAGGAGGTGCTCTCTAACCAGACCATATTCCTCTATTAAATGAGTAACTTCCAATTCATCTTTTGTGCGTTTTACTTTCTCCACAGCCTCCAGATACTTCAATAGTTTTTCAGTCTCAGCAGAAACTGTTTTGTCTTTATACGCCTCTTGGACATCTTTCCACCCTTTGGTAATATATTTAGTGACTATAGCAATACCTATTGAAAAGAAAAATGTTTTCCAAGCAGGATTACCCTCTTTATACTGGCACTTAGCATTCCAGCAAGCAAATGAGTTAGCAGGTTTCATACGCAGACCTGTCAACCAGCTATAAAAAAGGTCAGGCAGACACAACTCAGAGCAATAGTGTTAATTACTGTATTAGTCTCCTTAGAATAAGACGCCTAACAGATTTGAAACTAACAGATCTGAAACTAACAGATCTTCCCAAATAACAACAACAAAAAAAAAGTGTTATTTCATCATTTGTAAGCAAAAGAGATGGAACTGTACTATTTTATCTTCTCTTCACAGAAGGAAGAAAACATAGGGACAAACTCTGTTTACCTTGAAGATAAACAGGGCAATTTCTGATAAGGCCACTCAGGCTTTTAAGGTGCAATTTACAGGATAACATCACCAAGAAATCACTAGTCTACAACGGTACTTGGGTTTCAAAATAGTTCCACAGCAAATATGAAAGGTTTAAAACACAGTATTTTCAGGTAAATAAAAATATATTACCTTCACTGGCAGGTTTTAGGTGGGACAACCTCAGAAGATCTTTATGAGACCAACCACTCCTTTGTTTATATTTTGTAACTGCTAAAGCAACAGCCATGCCATTCTTTCCATTGTACCAATCTGCCACAGCTTTCCTCAGCGCACGGCCCCACATGCCACATTTCATGCCCTCCTTCAGATCTTTTTTAAACTGGATGAAAGTAAAGAGATGGGTTGATAGGCAACACACCTCAGGAACAGCTTTAAATGCCGCTTGCTTCGTTTTTGCATCAGAACACTGGGAGCAAACTGCAAGAGCAAAAAGCAGAGGCTCCTGTTTTGCTGCTCTGCCTTCTTGGCTAAATGTCTTTATTTCTTGAACAACTTCACAACCTCTACCCTCTTCAATCAGTCTTACTAAAGCTTCTGCATTTTCAAAGCCCAGCTTCTGCTCCTTGACGGAATAAGTACCACCTTCTGAACCGAAACACAAGAAACGTTGCAGGCGGTTCATATCGGTGACATGCCACACACAGTCACTGTCAGAGTTCGGCACCTGCTTTTCAGCCAGGAGTTGCACTGGGCTTCCCTCGTCCTCCATGGCTTACACTCCCAAGAGGTCTGCTGAAAGAAGAATAAAGTTTATTAATAGCTATTGTGAAAACCTGATGACTCTACTCTCAGCACTTCTTAGCAAAGGAAATATATCTTATCTATACACTTGTAACTTTCCCTTCATAAGTTTAGGAAGACTATACTCTTAACTGTGCAGTAACAAGTATCAAGTAGGGAAAAAGAAACAAAGAAAATCTCAAGTTACAATGGTGACAAATTTGTTTCCTTACAGCCAATTTCAAAAGTACTTAACTCCAATAAGTAGCACATAAAAAAACATGGCTGCTGTTATGCCCTTTTGCCACTAATATATCACATCAGTTTCTTAGGCAGCTATTTGGATTGCATTCTAAATTGTGTAAAACTCAGGCTTTGCCTTAGTCTATTTTGCTGAGGACTGGTTAATACTGACCAACTGAAAAAAAAAAAAAAAACCATGACATGACATGAAATAAAGAGCTAAAATACTGAAAAAACTTTCCATCAGAACACTTGGTGAGACTTAAAATACAATGGGTTTCAATGAGGCTTAGAAAGCAGGTGTTTAACCAAGAGACAGTAGCTCAAGAAAAAAACACTTTATGACAGGCTCCCATAGTCTGCTGTTTCAAGTGAGGTCCAAGAAAACACACAGACAAAACAACAAATTCTGTACTGCTCTACATGTGAGATTAAGAAGAAAAAAATGGCACAAATTGCATATAGATTTTAAAAGATGCTCACACTGAAATCAGAATGCACACAAATGACATTGCAAAGAAATCCACTCGACAATTTTTAAGCATGGCTGATACCCACTTTTGATGTGCTTGTTGGATACTGAAGACAAAAGCCATTTTGCTTCCTTTACCAGGATAAGCTAGCACAAATAGAGGTCACTCATCTAGGCAGATTTTTTCTTCCTCCCTAGTTTAGGTAAGTAACACAGTGATTTACAAATAACTTCCTTCCTCTCTGTTTGACACAGAATTGTCCTTTCTCTGCAGGCAACTGGAAATGGAGCCTTCCCTCATTCTTGCCTATCTGCAATGACATGCTGTCTGCACCCAGAACTGAATAATAAATACTCATCAGTGCTCCCATTATATTCCACAAGCTGCTAAAATCAAAACAATAGAAACCATAGGCTGATGCCTCGTTTAAAAACACACATTTCCATTAAAAATGAACTAAGAAATGTATTTCATTGTATGATTCAGAGCACCAGTGCTCAGCTACTTTTCTTAGTGCTTAAATATTCTAACCATGTTTCCTGCCAACCCAATTTAAATACACATCATGGTTGAGCTGACTCTTTCACTGACATCTAAGTATGCAAATACACTGAAAATAACAAAGGTGGTATTTGCAGTGCAGGAATACCATAGCAGGACCTCTTAAAGTGTAAATACATTTTATTTCAATACCTTTCAATTAGCTGGTTTCATTAAACAGTACGTGATGTTTCATAATAAATGTCCAAAACATAAACAAAAATCCTGAAATCACAGTCAGCCTTCATTAGTTTATTTATGAGAAAAAAAGGGTACTTGGAAAGCTACAGAAAAACACCACTATCTTGAAGCAAAAATAAGAATGGAAAGCATAAAGGACCATGCATGAATAACAAGATCTCCTTATATATATAAAATGTAATATATTTATAACATAATTATATTATATTGACATATAGTATCATGGGGGGGTGAAATCATCTTTCATACCCCTGCTATAATAAATATTACTACATTAAAACAAGACTAATGAGAAAACTGTTCAGTCACCTATGGATTACCAAGACTTCAACTGAACTAGAAAGATCCCACCTTTAGTTAAAGAAAACATTTATCGTCAGGCTTTTCTGATTATAAGAAATACCAGCACTACTTTGAATATTTTACATTTTTTCCCCTACATTTTTCCATTTGTGCAAGTTCCATCTGCTATGTCCATTTTATTTCTCACTTAGAGATTCTCACTTGCCCTCAACACACTTAATTTTATAGCCAGTAACAGAAATTAGCTACTATTGTCATCACCACCCTGAGAATACAACAAAACCTAAATTACATAACTGTAACTTTTTTAAAATTACAAGTAATATTTATCTGGTTTGAAATCTGTATTTGTTTATAAAATACCATAACACAAGATCAGTATTTCCATCAAAGGTATCATCCTGAAAGGCGAACCATTCAGTACCTCATTGCCACATGTGAAGAGGCAGCATGATGTTCCTAGTATTAAAGAAGTTTAGAGCTAATCATCAGACAAAAAAAAATGCTCCTCCCACTCTTCTCCATCACATCGTAGAACAAATCGATCTTACACACCTTAATAATGGATAATGTTTATGTTTACTTTTGGAAGGACTAGGCTTTTGCATGGACTGAAAAGAGGCACGTGCTAGCAGCCGCTGCCCTTTGACAAGCACCCTATTTTAAAAGATGGTAGCACCCATAGGCGTCTGACACCAACCTGTATTTTAAAGGACAGTTGCAAAGATACACATCTAGTTTTTCTGCAGCTTGGCTCCTGTCTCCTCAGGAATACACTGTGATATTTTAAAGAATGTCTATTTTAAAAGCTAACTTTGAAATCTGCAATTGCTGATGCAAACCAGTAATTCCACTAGCCACACTAGAAGTGTGTAACTAATTCTTCACCTGAATCTACTGGGAAAAAAAAAAAGAACCAAACTACTGAACTATTTAAATCACGTTGGCCATTTCTAACTCTGTTTTATATTCCAGCACCTCAAGTTCCCAAAGCTATTCCGTTCTTTTAAACAGCCCCTCTCCTCTGCCCAGACCTCAAACTTACTTTCTCTTTTAACAGCTGTACAACACGGACACCTTTCAACCTCGCAGATGGATAAATGCATGTACACACTTCATATGCTCTACCATAACCCTACTCATCATCTGCTGAGCTGCAGCAAAGAACTTTAATTTCAAACATTCATGGAGGATTTATCAATGATATTATGGCTTGTCACAGTTTGGGGTCACGGCCACCCCCAGAACAGTAATAGACGCTGTCTGATAACTCCCCTCCCCCCAAAAAAGCTCTCTGTTAAACTCCCCACAAAAGGGGAGAGAAAGGGAATAAGGGAGAGAGACTTACCGATTAGAAAAGGAAAACAGCTTTACTACTACCACTAACAATAACAGTAATAATGATAATAAAATGGAATATATACAAATATATATGAAGCTCATATAGAAGCCAGCTCTCTGCCCGATGGCAATACATCACCGTCACCCCCTGGCTGGGGAGCAGGCCCTGGGGACAAGCCCCAGGCTGAACTCAGCCACAGACAGCACCTAGTACAGGAGCTGGATTCTGGAACTCGTTTCAGGAACACAGGGCTCTGGATCAAATGCAGGATGGATGAATCCTCCTCGGATGCAGCCACTGCAGGAGCAGCAGAAGCGAGCAAGAAGGCGGGTGGGAGACAGACGGGCGATGGGAGGGCTTGCCCCTCTGATCCTTCAGCTTTTATACCAAAGGTGACGGATGAATTTAGGGTCACTTATCTTGTCTGCTCCTCCCTGAAGATGCGGCTTTATTTCTGCCCCACTCCATGTGGGGCACAAGCTTTAGCAGTGCCTTGGTCTGCACACCAACCCCTGGCAGTGACTCTAAACATGGAGTGTTATCACTGCTAGAAGCAGTCTGGGAAAACATGCTGCTAACTTCAGACAAGGTGGTTAATGACAAGAGCTTCAGATGAAAAGTTAAACCATTGAACAAAACCAGCTCTGCTCTATCCCAAACCAGGACATGTCTCCATAAACATTCCCAGTTTATGAGCTATTTGAATACAATCAGCAATGTGAAAAGCCTTGAAAGTCACAAACTGAATACTTTATAATGAAAATAGCTGAACTAAAATTCATGGTTGCTCACCATGATTAAAGAAAGAGACAAAATGCTAAGGAAAATCAATTAATATTCCAAATACCATCTAGATTAATCAATAAGTAAAATAAGTCTTTGGTGGGTCTGAAACATCCTATACAGCACTTATATCTTGATCAGTAAGTCAGTATCTTCGTGTTGCTGTACTATATGTATATATACACATGTTTGAGTTTTATAAGTTATTACTTTTACAGTTCGTCCCTAAGAAATAAAATGTCTTGTACGGCACAAGTTTCAGGTACATGTGAAAAAACAAAAAAAAATAGACAAAAAGCACAAAGCTTTAATAGAATTACAGCTTCTAATTTAAGTTCTTAAATTTAACTGCTATGTTAGCAAAGATGGCTCAGTCCTCGTGGTGAAGAGATATGGAATTACACTTTACCCAATCCAGACCTTTTATGGAAGAAAACAAACATTTTAAAGACAACACTTCACATTGTCTTAAAAGTCTTCAAAACCACATACACTTTGTTCTGTAAGAAAATGCATTCTTCATCTGCTCCTGAAACTTTGTATAAACATCAACCTGAAGCTTATACTGAACATCTTCTAGTTTATTGAGCAGAAAGACAATACCCATCACAGTGAGCTACGGCTGGAACAAAATACACCTGCACTACAGCAACACTCCAACAACATTAAGCCCTCGTACTTCAGAAAATACACACCTCTGTGTAAATAACAATGCTAGGAGAACATTTCCCAAGTCACAAAATAGGATCATCACCACTATAACATTACAGGAGATACCAAACTATACGAAACTCATATTTGCTTAAAAAAATCTACTACAGAATTTGCTCAGAAGTCTATTTGCTTAAAATTATTGACTGGAGAAAGTAGCTTAGCTGACTCATAACAAGATTATGAGGAAAAAGCATCTAAAGTCGATACCCGAGAGCCTGCGAGCTTAACAGCCAGCTTTAATACGGATGATAAATACAAGTGACGACGAGGCAATCAGCCACTCCATTACGACACGCGCTTTAATCCCCTCACGGGGTTTCCAACGCCTGGGTGCTAAGCGGGAGGTGGCCATTTAGGGCGGCTGC